GCGTCCTCCAAGTCACAATCCGGGTGTTTCCCACCCTGTTACATTTATTGGCGTTGTTGNAATTAACAATCCACTTCCAACCCACTCTTCTGCTATAAATTCCTACGTCCTCCTTTCCGTCTGATTTTGCTGCAGCCAACAGTCTGCCTTTGTGGTCCTCGGTGCAGTGTGATGCTGTTTTCCCGACTTTATTTAAGTTTAAACAGAACTAAACCATCACAGCTCCATACAAGAGTTKGTACACACATCAGTGTYGACACAGTCACATGACTCGTGATCTAAAAATAGCCTGAGTGAAGGTCCCCCATTATACAGCTAGACTCTGTTTTAAGACTCCAAAAATGCATGCATTTATTATGGCTGCTATTTAAAAATATAATAGTTGCAATAATTAGTTTTTTATTGTTAATGAAATTTTTAAATATGTCTTACATGTTATAATCTCTATTTGGATTGAAAACACCCAATTACATTGTTTGAGTGCATAAATGCAGAGAAATATGTTATTGGCTTGTAATGCTAATATTAGTTAGCTTACTGAGCACAATAATAAACAAATCCTAATGCTTTTGTGTGTGTCTTTTCATTTGAACAGAAATGTTGTTTTCTGTTTCAAATGGTGGGGAAAATAATTGTTTAAAAAGTGTGCAGAGAAGTGTAGTCAAGGTCTAAGAGTTCATTCTGGCCTCACAACATTGTGTAAACTATCAGATTTGTCAGCTCAGTATATTTTCTTGCTCAAATAGATTATTTTTTAAGCTTTACAAGACACATTTTGTGTAGTGTCATGAGCAAATTGAACTTCTAACTTGGCCGATGTTGACATTTCTACTCAGCTGTAATCATCTCGTCACCCGGTGTTGATGCTCTGTTTGATTCCAGGCAAAGATCAACTCTTGGCAAATATTAGACTGAAATCATCCAACACATTACCCCTTTGGACCACTCTATGGCTTTAAGTGACTAAATGTCTTTGTGTTTTATTTACTTCTGCGGCCTTAAACCTGACACGTTATTCAGGCAATAGAACAACTAAAGTTGTTTTTATGACTGTTGTCCTCTAGACAAATTCTCTAACTCTCTGGGTAACAGTTGTAACATAACAATGTATCTTTTTCTGCCTCTGTGTCAGCTTTAAATGCAGTTGTGGGACCTCGCCAGATGAAATGTGCAAAGACAGTTTCACAATTGCCAGGGGTGTTATTCTAAGATCAGGCTGGAATCAGAAGTTTTGTCGGTTTCAGTTAACCAGGGCGCTGCTAAATGGCTTAAACCAAGCTTCAGTGCACGCGGCCAAGGCTTTGAGATATTGCTGCACGACAGCTAAAGTAGTCGGGCGCATCACAAACATGTAGCCAGCCCCTTAAGAGCCCCTGGGCTTTCTCTTCTTCATGACTGACTTTTAAAGTGTTTTATCCCTGGGACACAGCGATAATGTGCATTAAGATCAAGAACACTTATTTCAATAGTGCTTTATGTTTTATTCTGGTTCTAAATTCAGCTGCGTCTAGACTGCGCTCTGCTGAGAATAGCTCATGTAAAATATAATTTGTAAACTATTCCTGCTTTTGTCAATTTTGCAGCCAGACCTACCTGAGTACTCATAATCGGGAATCCCTAGATTATTTAACCTTGGTTTAGTAATCTACCAGTTGACCCTAGAGTCGCGTCCTCCAAGTCACAATCCGGGTGTTTCCCACCCTGTTACACATGTATGAGACTTTGAGTAACATCAAACAACACTAATATTTTATTGCCATTAAGGATTTTGCTCAGTTTGTTTTCTTCTTTTAAAAAACAGTGCTTGAGTTTGACATGCATATACATTTGAACAATACATGTCACAACTCTTTCCTCTGATGTGTTTTATTCTGAAGTTTAAGGATTGATTATGCTGATGTTAAATTTCTATCTCCCCAACACACTCCACATACCTGACCTACATGAATCTATGAAAGTGTCACGATGTAACTCCGAGTATCACGTCAGTGGAAATACTCAAGGAAATAATCGAGGGCACTATAGACCAGCTGTGGGRAGCATTATGCAGAACTAAGGAACAAAGTGAGGGACACAGAAYATAAAGTGACACTAATGAACATAAATCACAAACAGCTGGTGAACAAACTACTCCAGGTTCTAGGCTGRTGAGGCACTGCCTTCATCAGAGTCCTACAGAGTAGTTTAGTCACATTTGATTAGCAGAGGTTAACAAGTTATGTTTCATTTCCCATTATACTGTATATGGACCAAGCTAACCAAAAAGCTTCAGTAATCTGATAAACAAGATCTTAACTCTGCTAATGCTACAGATTTTTAAAAATCTAGCGGAAGCTAACGCTAACAGCTAAGATTGCTTAATCTGTACCACTGACACAAACCTGTTGGTAGTTTTTTATTGGTTTARCTTGAAGGTAGGTGGGATCAGCTATGGCTTGTGATACTTCCAGTTTAACTCTTTCAGAATAAAATAATTTCCTTGATCAAGTTTATATTTTATAAATACTTGAAGTTAATCAAACAGCAAATGGCAAATACTTTCTCTACCTTATTTTATACATGGTCAATTTTTGTTTTTGTTATTTAAACATTGTTAAATGTATTTTATTTCTTTTTGATGCTCTTGGTTTAGTTTAGCTGCTAATGATGCTACACACTGACATGTTCAGCACTGCTTGTAAGAGAGGACAGTTTTTATTTAATTAGATATAAATGGCATAAAAATAGGAGCTTTACACTTGAAAATTTTTTTCAGTGGATTTAAAATGAGCAGAACTTAATTTAGCAGAATCTAATCGGTTTGCTAATGCTTTCCAGATTAGCATAATCCACTAAATGAGAAGCTCGTTCCGCTAGTAACAGATTACTACCTATCAGTATTCTTTACACACATAAAACTATAGCTCACGTGATGCACACTTCATTAAAACAAAGTTGTTGTGTCCTTTATAAAGTCCATGCACTATTCACAACATCCCATCTGAGTCCAGATATGAACACAAACTGAAGAAAGGCAGAGAAAGAAAAAAAGTGGTTCCTTTCAGGACATCCACATATCCACTGTTTTGTTTAAAAAATGTTTGGTTTTCTTTACATTACCTCCTGCTTCCATTGCAAGTCCAATTAAGCTTGGATRTAATCCTCTATTCTAAAAGTCAAGTTACATACATCAGCTAAACTGTGGAAAAAGAGAATAWGTAATAAAARTTTTTGAAACGTTTTACTGGTGATRCACAGAGACATAGTCTAGTCCCACTGAGGGAATGCTCAATCCAAAATGAGACACAGCCATAAAGTTAAATAGCATATATGTGTTTATATCATATTTAATATATGAAATATCTCACATATACCTCCATGGGCACAGCTCGCTGCTGCCGTTCATCCATCTCAGCCTGGAGTTTGAACAGGAATGGGACACATGGACAGTTCAGTGTCCTGCCCAGAGACTGCATACAGGTGGAATCAAACCTCCAACTCTCTCATGGAGGATGACTGCTCTGACCACTGATCCACAGCCACCCAGAGCTTTACAGAAACCCATCAAAACAAGTMAAAACAAAGAAACACATCAAAAAGATGYCTTATTTGAGCTGAATCAGGACTTGGTATGTCTTGTGTTTTGGGTCAAAAGGAACAACAGACCAATCATCATAAAGCCTTTTATATCCTCTATACGTTCTCCGTCACACTTATYATCAAACATCCCAGCTCTGTTAAAGTGGAATCTCTTTAACCCCACTGGGTTAGGAGGCTATCTGCGATTGGTAAAGTTTTGTACACACATCCGCTCGACTGCTCCCATTATCCTCGCTTCACAGGTCCGTTTAGGGTTTGTAACGAAGGAAGAGGCTTATTATCACCCTCTGGAGGAGCTGTCTGCACGTCTGCTCTGTGATCACTGCTGCATGACAAGCAAACTGAACCTGACATGGAGCCAGCATTAAAAGAAACATTTAATGCTTGTTTTACAATCATGGGAATTATGAGGAGAAACTGTTTAAATTTATAAATAAAATAAAAAACAGCAGCAGAATCCAGAAGAAAATAATATTAGATAAAGTGAGAATTGGTTGTAAAGAGGGTTTGGGCCACAATGAAATTTTTTTCTCTCAGAATTCTGAGATAAAAGTTAAAATTCTGACTTTTATCGTAGAGTTAAATAACCGTGGAGTGAGCCGCACCTATCCCGTCCACCTGTTAGCACCTGTGACAACATGGAGGAGCAGGAAAGGCGATCATGTAGGGCGTCAGCTCACAGCTGTCATGGCAGCTGTTAAATTTACAGCAAGCCCAACTGGATCTGTGTCATCATGTTCTTGTAATATTTTCACATGATGACTTTAATGCTTTGCAGCACCCTCTGCTGGACACAAGTAAGAAGGCAACACAGATTTTGCTTTCACAAAATGAAGTGTTGATCTTTCAGCCTGTAACAGTATTTGATGATATTTGTTTGGTTTATTTGTTGGACCTGCAGGCATCTGTGATAAAAAATATTCTGGGTAATGTGGCACAGTGCAGATTATTTTTTTAATCTACAGTAAAGTGAAACACTGTAAGGTTTATACCTTTTGCAATATTTTCTTATTGCTTTGAAATAACCTTTATTAGGTGTTTATAAGGTAAATGTTCATCAAATAACCCAAAGTGTCATCAAGTGCTCTGCAGCTCTACCAGAACGTTCAGATGTCTTTGACAATGTCTGTTTCTGAGGTAAACCCAGGTTCTGTCACATCCTCAGGCTTAGACAAACTATTAATCTCATGGAAAACATATGGGATTAACTATAAACCTGCTAAAATCTGACAGGTCATCATCTATCTGYAGTCCCAGCCTTACAGCAAGTTGGGTTTTTTTAAACAAACTTTTAAGAAGAATTTAAAAAAGATGCAAAACAACAAATTCTCCCACAGAAAACCTATTAGATCAGATGTTTTTCAGCCTGTCCCCTAGTGGCCACATGATTTCAATAAATACCTTGTCATATAGAGTTTTTGTAAACTCTTTTATTATTCAATAATAATAAGTGACATCACGTTATTTATGGAGATTTTAAACCAGGTGGTAACACGACACGTGAAAGTGAGAAAAACGTGCACAACACAAACACCAGGCACTTTCATTGTACGATGAAAAGCTCATCGTATTAAAAGCTCTAATAGTGTTTGAGGAGCCAGGTGGGTGCTGGGCCTCCCACAGAGACAAAGTAGTTCCACCACCAGGGCTTCTCCGCTCGCTCCTCGCGGTTCTGGTTCAGCTCAGACAGCATGGTGTACTGCGTGTACTGGTTGAATGGGTCAAAACGCTCGTAGGTGRCTGTGGACGGGAAGCTGTTTTGGTCTTCAGGCACGTCCGACTCTGGAGGAACTTTCTGCAGCAAAAAGTCCACCCGGCCGGCCTTCTGCATGCGGGAGGGCAGGTGGACCTTCTTCGTGGCTCTGGTGAAGCCGGGGGCCGAGGCGGTCACGATGTGGATACCAGGGGGGAGGAGGCGCCAGTAGTCGCCATTTTCAGCTGGACGAGAACAGAAAGACTCAGGGTTTGGCATACTAGTTCGAATGGTTCAGGTCCATAAAAATGTTTGGACTAGCAAATTATTATTTGTTTTACATATTTTTGTATTAAAGGACACAAAAACATTTTTATAATCCTTTGAAATGGTCTTGATCATTAGCTTTTCAGGCTTTCTGGAGGTCTTTTAAAGTTTTTTTAGATTATTGTTTTTTTCTCTCACTCATTTTTTCCCACTACTTTTCAAATTGTTTTTTTTTTACAGTTAAGTTGCTTAATTCGAATGAATGAAAAAGACATAAAAAGTTCCCTAATTCTAGGTATTGAGCACAGATCAGCACATAATGACTTAGTAAAGAACCTGTCTTTAATGAGGTTTGGCTGCATGGAGTCACACAGTGGCCGTGCTAACATGTAGCTAGTTCATGTATCCTTGCATGTAGCTGATTTGTGGTCCACTTTTGCCCAGATTCTCAAATCCAGACACTTTAAAAGCCTAAATGCAATGTTCTTTAATGTTCAAAGCATATTTGGATATTTAACTAGCCTGGCCCTTGCCTTCCCATGCAGCTCCGCTCAATTCTAGTTTCCCTTCTCTGCTCCGTCTGGGACTTCTCCCATTGAGATGGATTTGGCTGGCAGATTTTTAGCCGGGCCAATCAGAGAACAGAAGGAGGAGCTTTGAACGACATCGACTTTCTGCTCAGTGTCTGCTAGTTATTTTAGCATACGGCAGTGGAGGAAGTGAATGAAGCCAGTCTGTGTTGATAAGGCTTCCAAATTAAATTAAATTTGTCTGACAAAGCAGCAGCTCTCATTTAGTCGTCTCGTTTGGCTCGGAACTTCTCTCCTCTCAGCAGGGTCTTTTACAGCACACGTGATTTCCGGTTAGCTTCTTAGCTTAGCCTCCGTCACACCGACATACATCACAGCCAACTGATCCAATCATTTTAAACTTCAGCAGAGGCTACGCCTCCTGCAAGAAATTGATTCTCTATGCATCAAGTCCAGACCCTTGTACGAAGCAAAGTGAAGGACAGGGTCTGGTTTAAACCAGGCTAATATTTAACTAGAAATTAGCTCAAGTACGAGCTAGCTAATAGAACTTCCAAGGAAAAGTTTAATACTAGTAACATGCAGCTACAAAAAAGTTTGTTCTAATTTTTTTGTTTTATTTTTTAGTTTAGTTTAATTTATCTAACATGTCAGAGCCTGTAGGATGATTTAAAAAACAATAAATAACATCAAACAGCCATCTTCCAACCTGTTCTGCTGCTAGAAATAAGTTACTTCCCCCCTCTCCTTTCCTCCTGCTTCGCAGCAGGCGCTTTCATGTCCGCACCTGACACCACCACACCCCCCCACCCCCCGCGCGCGCGTGGGTGCGAGTTGGACTTTTTGCAAAATTTATGGATTTTTAGGGCTCTTTATACAGGTAAACTACTTTTATTCCTGATTTAAACCAGCGATCATGTGAGCAGCTGTATGCTTTTATTTTTTTCTGTCAGGCTGTCGGAGCGCTCCTCCTCCTCTGTCCGAGGCTGGTGTGGGGTGAAAATCCTCCACCTCAGACGTTCAGAGATGTAGCTATCTGCGATACTGTGGTCACTCTCCATGTAGCATCAATTATGCTAATGCTAGCTGTCTGTCACGTTCTCTTGTCCTGGCCACACCTCCGCTCTCTAACCCCCCCTACCCTACCCACTTTGATGCATTTTTCAAATTTCGCCTTGGGGCGGAGTTATCTTTTCACGGGGGGGGGGGGGGGGGGGTAAGATGCACTTTAACTATTCTTCAAGACCACTTCAGATAAAAACAAGACTGTCAATAAAAGCATGTGTTTATTTTTGTTTAAAAGGATGCATCTATGATTCTTCTAACCTGAGATGATGTCATGTCTTATCCCTTTCACGGATATCTGTGCACCTTTAATCCCATTTCCCTCCTCATCTTTTACAAGGCCTTTAATTCCTCGATGAGCCTGACGGGTGACAAAAAACACGTTAGTTTCTCATTTCTCCACAAAATACTCGAAGAAAAATACTGGAGTTCAGATTTTTGTTTTGTTTTGTTTTGGGGTTTTTTTATTCTCGGGTATCATCTGAGTACAAAACAAAAGATCAAGTCTTACTGCTTCTATGAAGGCAATCAGAGCATCTTGGTTCTCATGCCACATTTGGAAGAGTTCCTCCTCTGGGGGGAATTTATCACAGCCCAGCTCCACCGTCACCTCAAAACAGTTGGTGTGTAAGTAGTTGAAGTCCTGCATGCCTGAGCAGACACACAAAYCCAGAAATGATCAAAAAATAAAAATAAAAAACTCTCACACTTTTTGTCATTGCCTGATCTTACAGTGACCTCTACAGGCCCTGGATGAAATCACATTTATTTCACTTGACTGAGGAATGCTCCTCTGCTCACCGCCTGTGATGCTGTACCACTGCGCTCCATTAATGGTMCCTTTCTGGCTGTCTGCACTGGAAAAACCACAAGGGGAATCTTCACTGGACATGGATTTGTGGGCATCTGCATACGTGCTTGCAAGAAGTTTAAAAACCTAAAAAATAATAATAATAATAAAATAAGGAAGTTTCATCACTTTGTTTGTTGATAGTCTGACCCTCTGGTCTGACCCATTGCTTCACGTCATGCCTCATTGACCAGTGAACCAAACATTTTTATCTTCTTTTGTCCAACATGTTTCTCACTGCTGTCGGACTTAAAGTCCATTTGACATCAAATTTTTGTAATAAAAATAATAATATTAATAATTTCACATTGCTGAGATGTACAGTTGTCGAGATTTTGGCATGTGAAGTAACAGGAAGTGATGTCACAGGGGAATGACAGCAAGAAAACAGAGCATTTCTACAATGACTGAGAAACAGACTGTAGAGCAGAATCTGATGTTTCTTTAGATTATTTTAGTCACTGTGAGAGTGAGATGAAGAAGAGTCAGAGTTCAAAAAATATTGTTTCCAAAGGTGGGCACAGTTTCGCCAATCATTTAATAGCAGAAYTAGCTTCTCATTTAGTGGATTAGCATTTTAGCTAAAAAAAAATTGACTACATATAAAATATGGTGGAGAAAATATTTGCTATAAGTTGTTTGACTGTTTGACAGTATTTATAAAAATACAAACTCGATCAAAGATATGCTTTTATTCTCAAAGGGTTCAACTGGAATTATCACAAGTTAGACAGAGATATAACTCTGCACTGGATTGGCCRATTTGCCACAGATGATCCCACCCACCTTTAAAATAAACCAACAGAAAACTAACACCAGTTTTGTGTCAGTCCCACCAGTCTTCCACTGGAAGGAGATGATGAGTGACAGTCTAAACATAAACTGTTAGGTTCGGACAGGAACAGATCCAGGGCGCAGGCAGGCTCAAAAATATAACAAAAATTTATTTATAAATAACTGAAGGAGGGCTGCTGGCAGCAAACTTACTAGTATGGAGAGTCACAGGCACGAGGGGAACAGAGCACGAGGAACACATGGAACAAACAACAATGATCCGACCAAAGACAGAGACAGGACAGGGCTTAAATACACAGCAAACTAATCAGGGAACAGAAAACACCTGGAGAGAAACACAAGG